TACACATAGAACATCAACAAAAAAAATGAAACACACAATCATTGCCAAATAAAGAATTTCAATAATGTCAGATTCTCAACAGAGACAAGAGTATACATAACTTTGCTGATTTCTACAACAATTATTAAAAGATATTATGGCAAAAGCAAACCATACTGAGGATTAAGCCAATTAATTATAATTAAAATAATAATTATCTTGAATAACAACAAAAAAATTTAAATACGGATAATCAAGAGTTCTTTAAATTGTTAAGAAAACCTTTATATTACACAAATAACGTAGAGATGGAAGATTATTTAATTGTTACATAAATGAAAATACTAAACTTTTATAACTAAATATTGGATTAATTATCAAATTTTGAACATATATTAGCTGAAACCAATACCTGATTTACCACCTGAATTAACTCATGAGGAGAGTTAAAATATATAGGAACAAATAGCTTATTACAAAGATATCTCTGGAATCACCCATCTATATTTTAGAAAATTTAAATGGAATAATTTATGTAAAAGATGGAATTCCTTAATATTCTCATCAAAAACAAAAAGTTAATAAACCCCCTTAACAAATGTCGCCAAGTAATTCCTAATAGAGCTCAGTTCAGGCCTTTAGAAATGATGAGCTTTTAATTGAAATTTCTTGAACTCAGATTGAACAATAAATTGCAACATTATATGAGAGTTGGAATACTCAAATCATAAACTGATTTTGTAGTTGGCATGCTTTCATGTCAATATATTATTAATTCTATTTAATTGGATTAGAAATATAAATAAATCAGATAATTTATGCTTGGTTTTATAGACATTAAAAGTGATTATAAAATAGTAAAAAGGATAACTTATTTTAAATTTTAAAATTAAAACAAATAGTAATTGATATTGAAACTTAATATATCTGGAGACAATATATAGTAAAATATTCTATCTAGATGCTTATAAGAAAGAGAAAAGAGTACACCTAAAGAACGGAACTCCTTAATGATAAATATCTCAAGCCTTATTCAACTTTTACCTTGATGAATTCATAAGGGATTTATTACTAAGAAATAACAATTCATATCAAATCTTGGAATATGTTAATAATCTTGCTTTATTAGTGAATAAACAGAAGTTAGGCTTTCTTCTCAACGAAACCAAAACCTTATCACTTTATGGAACCTCAGAATAAATACCAAGAAGAATGGCATAATGCCAATTAAATTAAAATTCAAACTTACTCAGATTAAAGACTTTCAATGTTTTACTTAATTAAAAATAATATCTAGATTTACATAGATCATAAAGGATCTATCCCATTACATGTGAAGAACTTAGCTAAAATATCAACTTCATTAATAACAAATTAAACTCTTGGGTATTCTTGTACAGAATTTATATCGAACCTTATTTTTATAAATGGCAGGAAATTGGGTAAGTCATTTAGTTGTAATATAAAACTGATTATAATTATAAAATATTAAATTTAATAAAAATAAATACTTAATAATATCGATGATCTGCTTCTCTTGGATTTCCTGAAGGCAAATTTTCATTACAGTCTTTATTTTTCGTTAATATGATATTTTTACTAATGTTTTATTAAAAGATTCCATTTCATAATTCAAACACCAAAATATCATCAGCATTTAGCCCTCAAATTAATTATTTATCATTGATTAAAGTATTTTAAGTTATGATTCTGAAACTTTTTGTTTAAATCATTAAAATGAATTAAATAAATTCAAATAAAATATTGAAAAACTATAAGTTTTTAATTTTTTAAATAATAAATTCTGTTAAATTCAATTGAGTTTCAGATGAATTAAAACTGAATAAATTCACACTCTATTATGAGGGTCAACTAATGAGTACTGACAAATAATACCATGATCTTGAGATCCAGAAATAAAGTTATTTCTAAATTTGCTACAGCAAATATGTAATAGGCTTTTTATGTTTCGAATATGTATTAATTATATGTAATTTTCATACTTCATAAGTTTTATTAGGGCATATACATTTATTCAGAATAGAAGTATTCTTATAAAACTTTGATGTACAATCAGTAAAATAATTACCATTTTTTTAATATTTATAGCATAGATGGATATAAGGCTAGCAAGATATAGATAAAATTTAATAATGTGATTACAATAATGATGGATCCATAAAATATCCATTGCTACCTATTCATATATCATTAGAAACTATTTAATTTAGAAGAGAGCACATGAAAGCCTTTTGTGGCAAGATCAACAAAATTATAAAATGGCAATTAAATTTTAATGCAATTATGATTAGATAGAAAATAGTTTTTTTTCACTTGATTTACAATATAATTCAGATATACAATATTGACCCTCATAATTCTAATTATATTAGCATTAAGTACATACTGATGTTGAAATACAGATTTTACAATTTTAACAATTATTTGAAGTGTTTATGATATGCCTTTCTTTACAATATCAAGAGGGAGCTAAATGATTTGTATATGTAGAACAACTTACACATGGACGAAGACATGAAATAATTTATAGTAATCGACTGTTTAATATCCTGGTTAGCAATTACACCTAGAATCATTCTAGATAAATCCAGTTGTGCAAATCTTGCAAGTTCCATTGCCATTATTGCATGTTTAACCTTGGCTTGGCTCATTATTAATTATCCTAAATTCAACAAACTATAGAGAGATTTCGTTATCATTCTAACTTCTTTTTGATAATTTGAGGATAGATTTTAGTTTTATTATTTATTTAGATATCATGCAGTATCATTTTATAAAACAAAAGAAATTAGTAATAATTTAATTATGTAATTAACTTGTTCTCTAAAATATAGAATCTTTTATATTACAATTATTAGCTCTATAATAATCGGTGCTTAGAAAATCTGATCAAACTATGTTTAAAAACCACAATTATAACTAATAATTGATATGGTTGCATAAATTATTTGATTTATTTGAAAAGTGAAAAAAAAAATTTCATAATCATTTGTGATGTTTATAAAATGGGCAGTTCATAAAATAATTAAAAGGGTGAGAAAAAGTATTTAAAAAAAATTGAGAAATATAAATCTTTCATATTTTAATAAACATTCAAAATAATTAACTCAACAAGAAGCAAAATTCATAAAAAAATTTTTTGAAGACTTTGGGTTCAGTGGATAAATAAAAATTGTAGAAAAATAAAATGGTTGTTTTGATAGAACAGGAGCTAATTAGTTTTCAATTTTATAAGCAATTTTTTCGAAAGAATGAAGTTAAAGACTTGAAAGGATCAAAAATAGAAAATTAGTGGAATAAATATTAAATAGAATTATAAAAATTAAGAGTAGTATTAGTAGTATTTACATAATCTCCATTCTTATTTATCATAGTTTAGATTTAGACCCATTTGATTAATATGATGAGTAAGCTGTTAGATAAACAATATATGTTTCAGGATGTGTTTTTTTTTATGTGTTTGTGATCTAATTTTGTTTTTTTTCTATATTAACTTTCTTGATTAACTATTTTGCGACGAATCAAATAATATCATTATCGATTATGCTTTCTAATTTATGTATTCATACTTTATCCAATCTCTTGAAGTAAATCAAAATACAATAATGTTAAAATAGTAGGTTTTTTATTCTTTATATTAATAAATATAATTTCTACTAATTTATTATTAAATCACTTCCTATCATATATATTATGTTAAAATCAAACTTATACTTTCAACTATTTGGAGCATTAAAAAAAAATTAAGTAATCTAATTTATTTTTTTATTCTAATTTGAATCCTTATTGATTGTGAACAAAGTTTAGAAAAGACAAGGCATAACTTTATGGATATAGACATAAATATATAATTTTCATCCACTTTTAAAGAGGAGGATGGCAGCATTTCCCACATAGAAATAAATAAAATGCTTAGTTTCAGTTGTGATTTATGAATCAAAGTTTCTACCAACAAAACAATGCCAAGTTGGATTATATTTTTTATCAAACTCCTTTGTGATGAATGCCTAATATTTAAGATTTTGTACAGGTAAATCTTTTTCAATATCGATCTTTTTCAAAGCCTGTTTTACGCAATCTATTGCATCTAGTTACATTTCTTCTGACATATCAGCATTTTTAACAACTACTTTTAGATCAGCTTAAGCCATCTTTTATATTTTCTTATTATTTAAATTTATTAATAATAATTTTTCAATTTCCACATCTGATTTATACAAACTGAATGAGGTATTGTACTTGAATCCTTACTATTAATTTTTTTCAATTGAAAATTTTGCCTTTATTATATTGGATTTTAGGTAAACATAAACCTCGACTATTTTAAATTTCAAGTAATATATAATATTTTATGCAAGTACTATAATTAATGTGATATGTCTAGTAATGATTCAAATTAAAAAAATATAATGCTTATTTAGATTTAAGTTTCAAAAAAGTATGACTTTAAAAAAATAATAATTTAAGAAAAATAGATAATTTTATATATTCAATCAAGGCCAAACTAGATACTTAGAAATATCTTTATTTCTAACTAAATTTTTAAAAAGGCACAATTGAAGGTAGATACTATAAAGCAATTATTCAGTATTTTATATCATAAATTTATAACTAAACAAATGTTGCTATTTCTCTATCAATTAAATTAAAAATTTTAAATCTAAAAATTTTAGTTAATTTTGCAATTTAATGGATAACAATTTAAAAACAGAATATAATATTTTCACTGTTAATATTTAAAAATTTAATGAATTATTAATAATATTTAATTCGAAATGAAAATTAGTACATTAAAATTTTGTAAAACTATCAATAGGTTTTGATAAATTAGTTTAAATTAATCTTTTAGTTTCAGGTTTAATTTTAGACCCTTGAATTAGAGAATAAAATTTGCTTTACGAATAGGCATCAATCATTATTGTTGAATAACAGTTTACTAAAATTGATGATATAAGAATGAGTCATCTATTTTTCATCTGAAATTTCATTAGATGGAGGATGATATAAGAAAGTTGAGAGGTAAGAAATACAATGAATTACTGGAAATAAGAAAATAAAATTTTATAATAATCCAAGATATTAGAAATAAAAGATCAATGAAGTTTATAGTAATTTTAATGGAGAAGAAAATGAATTTGTTTGGGATGAGAAGAAAGAAGAATGTGATGTTTTTATCGGGTAATGCTGAATCTGGTAAGAGTAGAGCAGCCAAAAAAATTAAAGTTTATATGGCAATCCATCATACCAATTTATGTATCTCAACCATATTTAAAAAACCTAAAATATAATTTATTCGAATAAGCTTTATAATCTGATAATTATGGATTCGATAAACATTAAATAGAATACTTTAAGGAAACAATATAAAATAAAAAAGAATTAATTTTAATGATATTGGATAATTATGATGAGATGAAATAGGATTGTATTTAATAAAATCTAATATTAAATAATAAATTTAATTAAGATCTTAATATTTATAAATTATAAAGATAGCTTATTTGGATATTAAACATGGTTTTATGTAGAGACAGTGTTTGCAAAGTTTTTAAAGAAATTTAATTATAAAATTTTGACTAAGATCAAATATAAGAGGAAATAAGTAAAATGCGCAACATAAGATAACAGAAGTACAGATGTAGTGAGCTTTAGAAATTAAGATTTAAAAAAATTTACTGCAAAAAAGTTTACATCTCATAAAGCTTTTAAAATTTTTAAGGAATAACATATAATTGACTTAAGAAAGGATTTAAAACTACTAAGGAGAGTAAATAAATTTGAAGAAGGCTTTAAAAATTTTGGCAAATTAAATCTTTTCACTACATCATTCATGTTAGAAATAGTGTGTAGGTTCAACCAAATATTTACAAAATAGTATAAAGGATCAATAAAATTAAGAAATTCATTTATTTAAAACTATAGAAAAATAATTAAGAAATAGAAATTATTATCGCAATAAAGAAATATGGATGTTTGGATCTAATTTAATTGTTATTTCTCAATAAGATAATTTGAATTATACCTTAATATTCATCTTTAAATTTTAAGTAAAAGTAATTCTAATTTTCGCCTGAATTCAAAGCATCGCAATTAATTTTTAATTATATATTTCTGTAAATTTAATTTCGATTAATAAAATGTAAAGTTTGTTTGTATAAATTAGATCAGCAATAAACATATTTAGAATATAATTTTGTAAATTTTTTTTCAGATGTTGTTAAAACTATTTCTTTACATATTAATTTCAATTCCAATTACTAAGTTATATTTTAGATTTGTGTTAAAGTAACAATCAANTTTATCGGGTAATGCTGAATCTGGTAAGAGTAGAGCAGCCAAAAAAATTAAAGTTTATATGGCAATCCATCATACCAATTTATGTATCTCAACCATATTTAAAAAACCTAAAATATAATTTATTCGAATAAGCTTTATAATCTGATAATTATGGATTCGATAAACATTAAATAGAATACTTTAAGGAAACAATATAAAATAAAAAAGAATTAATTTTAATGATATTGGATAATTATGATGAGATGAAATAGGATTGTATTTAATAAAATCTAATATTAAATAATAAATTTAATTAAGATCTTAATATTTATAAATTATAAAGATAGCTTATTTGGATATTAAACATGGTTTTATGTAGAGACAGTGTTTGCAAAGTTTTTAAAGAAATTTAATTATAAAATTTTGACTAAGATCAAATATAAGAGGAAATAAGTAAAATGCGCAACATAAGATAACAGAAGTACAGATGTAGTGAGCTTTAGAAATTAAGATTTAAAAAAATTTACTGCAAAAAAGTTTACATCTCATAAAGCTTTTAAAATTTTTAAGGAATAACATATAATTGACTTAAGAAAGGATTTAAAACTACTAAGGAGAGTAAATAAATTTGAAGAAGGCTTTAAAAATTTTGGCAAATTAAATCTTTTCACTACATCATTCATGTTAGAAATAGTGTGTAGGTTCAACCAAATATTTACAAAATAGTATAAAGGATCAATAAAATTAAGAAATTCATTTATTTAAAACTATAGAAAAATAATTAAGAAATAGAAATTATTATCGCAATAAAGAAATATGGATGTTTGGATCTAATTTAATTGTTATTTCTCAATAAGATAATTTGAATTATACCTTAATATTCATCTTTAAATTTTAAGTAAAAGTAATTCTAATTTTCGCCTGAATTCAAAGCATCGCAATTAATTTTTAATTATATATTTCTGTAAATTTAATTTCGATTAATAAAATGTAAAGTTTGTTTGTATAAATTAGATCAGCAATAAACATATTTAGAATATAATTTTGTAAATTTTTTTTCAGATGTTGTTAAAACTATTTCTTTACATATTAATTTCAATTCCAATTACTAAGTTATATTTTAGATTTGTGTTAAAGTAACAATCAATCAGTTTATTCTCTATCCTAATATTCAAGGATAGATTGATGAGAAGCTTAATTTTTAAATTTGCTAAGTATTCTAGATTGTAACTTTTAAGAGATTTAGAATAAGTTAAGTTATTTTTTAGATAAATTATTATGTTTATGCATTCTAACTTTCGACTTAAGCAAAACCTTAATTGATGAAAAGAGAAGGATAATATGATGTTAGTGAGAATCCTATTGTATCAGGAGAATTTTCATTTTTTAATCATATGAATAATCATAGACTTATGTAAAATAAAATAGATTGCATACAATTTGTTTTTAAGGATCAATTTAGACAAATAATCATAATTATATAAAAATGTTTGAAAATTTTGAATTCGATGTAATAAATCGAGTGAGAGGTAAAATTCTGATTATATTTGCATTCCTGTAAATTTACCATTATTAATGGACAGCTGATTCATACAATTTTATAAAAATACAGAGAGTTACACGAATTCTACGATAGCCATATCAATTTATAACTCGTAATATAATCATCTCTTCAACAAACTTATATCTTTTTCCATCAACTATTAGATGTTACTTTAAAATTTCCATAAAATAATAAGTTTAATTTTTACAATGTTAATTTTTATGTTATACTTTTGCGTTTTGAAATTCCTCGAACTATATATTCATATTTCTAAAATTTGCAGTTTCTATTAATAATCAGAGTTGGAAAATTTTTAGTTTAATTTAATTTCCTATTTAAACCTTCTTAGAAATTCATGACTTATATGCTAAGATGTCAAAATCGCTTGTTATTTTCTAATCCTGTTATATTTTTTAAGAATGTATGATCTCAGGTTTCCCAATGAAATAATTAACCTCAAGAAATTTTTAAAAAAGAACTGTTTAATATATTGAAAATAAATTATTATACAATAAAGCAGCCAATTTAGAATGATAAACAATAATTAATAATATCAAATTTACTTTTAATATCTAGGAAACTAATTAGAAATTTGATTTATACATTATAATCTAACATACAAGTTTAATTTGAAGTGTAAGTTTGAGTTTCACCCCCCATATATTTTGGATTCTTTAATTTTACAACAAATTCCACTCATTATTACAATTGATTTAATCTAGAATGGTATTTATTTAGTTGGAATTGTGTGATTTTCAGTTGAAAATTGCACTCACTAAAAAATCAACACATGGATATCCAATCTCTAATCTTATATCTCTAATTTCCCATGATTCTATAATATAGGTATACATCACCATCATCAAGAGGATGATCTAATTTATCATATATAGAAATTTTTATTTTATTTTTCCCGATTTAGATACAAATGTAATTGCCTTCTCCACTAATTAATCCTACCAAATGGTGTTACGACATATATATTTTCCATCAAAACAAAAATACTTAATTTTATCAATTATTTCGTCATCCACCTAAATAAATAAATATTCGCGATCCCAAGAATCAAATATTCCAGATATGAAAGAAAATTTTAAATAAGTTCCTGATGGGCAATAAAATTCTTTTGATAGAGTAGTCATTCATCCAAAAGGCCATAAAAATAATTTTTCTGCACAATTCAGTACTTTATTTGGTATAGACCAACCACTATTGTAACAATCAATTCCTTAAGGTTCAATCCAATTTTCAATTCATAAAATTGGGAACATAATTTTGATAAAAAAAATTCCTAACATAAGATAATTATTATGATATTATTATTTGATTAATCTCAATTCATAAACTGATAAATGCCCTAAGATTGTAACAATATGATATAAATAAATAAACTGATTAAACTAAAACTTTACAATATGAAATTGATTATTTCAATTTTTTGTTTATTTTATGTATAATTTATAATAAATTGCTAAATAGATAAGTTAAAGCTGATTTAGATGGTTAAATTATATTCACATTTTATTCTTTATAGTTTCAGAATATTGCTGATTAAAAAATAAATGTAATTGAAATATATTATTTTAAAAACTATATAATGGAGAATCGAATGCTGTAAATGCGTATCTATTTAGTATCTTCTCTAAACACTCTTTAATAGAATATTGATTATTTGCAAAAAAATTTTTTAATTTAAATTTAAGAACTTCATTACTTGTTTAAGTTCAAATCACCATAATGTACCTTTTGTCAATTTTTAATTATTATCAAGAAACATTGAATATCTTACTGTCATAATTCTTAATTACAATTCTATATTTGAAAAATTAATGAAAGAATTATAAAGTTTATATAAATTTTTATTAATTTCCTTAACATAAAGTAATCGATTTATAGTATTTTAAATGTAGAGTGAGAAATAAGTAAAATTTGATGAAAAAATTGATCAAGCCATTGAATTTTGTTAAAATGAAAGTTAAAATAGTTTATTAATTAATTGTAAATTAATTTTCATTAAAATATTAGGTTCTGAATGTGATAATTTACATAATGAAGGCTTTCAAGAATTTTCAATTTTGTCATACATTTGCAGAGAGGAACAGGTTTTATAATATCATTCTAAAATTAAAAGGCATTTTAGCAAAAACAAAGAAATGCTTTATTATTATGATGGATAATTAATCAAAATGTATCTAAATTGGGTAGGTGAATATGGAAACAATAAAAGAAAAACAGGAAAATGGATAGCAACTTGGAAAGGTGAAAATTTAGATGTAGGTGGATTCTATGGAAGTTTGTTTAGGAAAATAAAGAGATGTATCTTAATTATCTCAATAATAGTGGAGGAGGAGAATATAATATAGATGCAATTAAAATTGGTTAATGGTTGGTATTGAGTGAATATTTCAATAGGTATGAAATTACTTAACAGATAAAATAGACACAGTGACATAAAATATTGTGGTGAATATATACATGGTAAAAAAATTGGTAGATGGAACTCAATTTATTATGAAAATGAATAGAATTATGAAGATTAGATGTATATTAATAAATATTAATCAAATTTTAACTAAATGTGGTGGTACTTTTAATGAGAATGAATTAAAAGATGGTTTTTGGCTTGAACTAAGTGATAATTTTTGGAAGTAATTATCCTTATATTCATATTTTTTAGAAATAGGTATTCCATTTATTAAGCCTGTTATAAAAATGGAAGAAATACGGTAAATGAAAAATTTTTTTTCTTCAATTATTGATGTAATGTAAATTGTTATAAATTAGAGGAGGTGGGAAATATGATTAAAATGGAATGAAAGATTAGTTTTGGATAGAATTGGGTATTAATTCTTCTAAGTAAAATGATAATTTATTTTTAACTTTGATTAGGCTAAATAAATTAATTTATTAAGGAAAATATAAAAATGGTCGAAAATAAGAAATATGGGATATCTTTTATGATGAAGAAAGAATGTATATTACTTCATACTTTTATTTATAACTTTAGAGGAGGAGGAGAGTTTGATGTAAATGGATTAAAAGATGATTATTGGATTGAGTTGAGTGACTATTTTTAGTTGTAATTATCATCTTTTATTAATTTATTAGTTAACATTAAATTACCTTCAATGGAATATATAAAAGTGGAAATTAGAATATAATGTTAAGAATGTATAAGGATAGGCCTTTTTATTAAATGTAATATTTTAATTAAATAATCAATAGTGGAGGGGGTTTTTTTGGTTCAAATGGAAAGAAAAAGGGTAGTTGGATGGATTTTGGTATTGAATTTAGTAAGTATGAATAAAATTAAAAATTTAAAGTTTGACTTAAAAAGCTTATACAGGGAAGTATAAGGATGATAAAAAATATGGCAAATGGGAGATCATTTATTAAAAAAAAAATGTTTTTAAAAATTAAATTATTTTATTAGTGGTGGTGGATCCTATGATTCAAATGGTAAATGGATTGATTTGTGTGAAAATTACAATTAGTAATAGTTAATTAATATTATTAACAAGTCAAAGAGAAATTATTTATGATGGAGAGTATAAACATGGTTAAATATGTGGTAGATGGAATATTTCTTTTAGATTAAAAGGAGATTTTTAAATTATGTAAACTTACTTATTTTTTACATAATTATTAGTGGTGGTGGATCATTTGATATTGGTGAAATTAAAAATGGTAAATGGAGTGAATTAGATGAAAAAATTCATCAGTATTTAAATATAATTAACAAAATTTAGAGAAAATTAGATTATAACTATTGGATTTTATAAAAATGGTAAAAAAATAGGAAAATGGACACAAATGTAAAGACAAGCATAAAGATTATAAGAAGGATTTAAAATTATGTAATCATTGTTTCTAAAAATATTAAGTGGAGAATTTACTTATTCCTTTGAATGAAAGTTGTAAAAAACATAAAAATTTTAAAACTATTTTAATTATGCGAAAATATCCTTCAAAATAATTCAAATTTCTATAGCATTTTCGTAAATATTTAACTCAAATAAAATTTTTTTCATTTAAAATTTGAGCAAACTTAATTTATAATCTTTAAAATTTTGATTACTTATTCCTTTAACTCTTAGTTGAATTAGATAAATATTTTAAAATTTTTTTTTTTAAGTTACCCCAAAAAATAGATTAGGTATAATTAACTATTATGATTAAATAAAAAAAATAATAAAATTTTAGCAAAGCTCATTAAATTTTACATTATAAATTATTATTGCATTTGCTGATGATTTTCTTTTATTCAAATTTAATTTATGAGGGGTAATATATTTAGAGAGTATTTATAATTATAAACATCAATATTACATTTTGGTTTTATATTAAGGGTAAATTTCAATCAGGAAAGATGTGAAAACTAATTTCAATTAGATTATTCTAACAGAGGGAATCCAGTCTTACTCCCTTATATGAATCATTGCTTAAGGTATTATTATTCTTGCTAGGTTAAAATGGAGCCAATAATGCATCATTTAAATCCAATCCTATATTTTAAATTAATTTGATAGCTGAGAAAAATATTTTTTTTGTAAATTATCATTCATTGAATTGGCTGAAAGTGAAGGAGAAGCTGATTTTTAAAATTCTAATAAACAAACTAGAATATATGAATTTAAATCAATAAGTCACTTTTAGTTTTAAAAGAATGCGTAAAAGCATTCGATTTAATAAGAATCATGCTTCATTTGAAAATCCCAGCTAAATAGTTCTTATTGTTTAAAAAATAGTTTAATAGGTAATTCTTAAACAGTAATGATTGGAAACCTTTTTTCCAGTTTGTCAAGTAGTGAAAATTTTAAATTCATTAAGATCTCGATGATGAAAATCATTAAGACATAACATAAAATATAATGAGTAATTTATTAATTCAAAATAATAACTATTATAATATTAAATTTAATAAGCTTTAAATAAGACTATAAAATTGGGAAATGTTATGTATAAGCAATACAAAAAATTTTAGTGTTAAAGAAAGGTATATATTTTTAAGAATTAAAATCTTTAAGATTAAGCTCAAATAAAATGGACTTTATTACAATTTATATTATAATGAAAGGATATAAAAGGGATTTTAAAATAAGAGGAAATGCAATTTCAACTAAGTTCCAATATTTTGTTTATTAAAATCTAGACTAACTTAATCACCATATACAAATGCGTATTCTTTTAATCTCTATTTCATTAAATATATGGATTTAATCCTGAATTTAATATAAAATTATAATCAAATAAGACATAGTTTCGCACAATCCATTTGGCTATAGAATTATTGAGACATAATAACAATATTTTAAGATACAAACGCTTTTCTACTTCTTTTTTGTAGTTATTATAAATTTATAATTTTAGATATGATTTGAATGATTATTTTTATAACTATTCTGTTTATATTTTAATATTAACTTCTTCTGAGAATTTATAAAACAAATTCTTTTAATTGAATTGCAACTAGAATAAAAGTATTTGAAATTCTGATATNAACTAATTTCAATTAGATTATTCTAACAGAGGGAATCCAGTCTTACTCCCTTATATGAATCATTGCTTAAGGTATTATTATTCTTGCTAGGTTAAAATGGAGCCAATAATGCATCATTTAAATCCAATCCTATATTTTAAATTAATTTGATAGCTGAGAAAAATATTTTTTTTGTAAATTATCATTCATTGAATTGGCTGAAAGTGAAGGAGAAGCTGATTTTTAAAATTCTAATAAACAAACTAGAATATATGAATTTAAATCAATAAGTCACTTTTAGTTTTAAAAGAATGCGTAAAAGCATTCGATTTAATAAGAATCATGCTTCATTTGAAAATCCCAGCTAAATAGTTCTTATTGTTTAAAAAATAGTTTAATAGGTAATTCTTAAACAGTAATGATTGGAAACCTTTTTTCCAGTTTGTCAAGTAGTGAAAATTTTAAATTCATTAAGATCTCGATGATGAAAATCATTAAGACATAACATAAAATATAATGAGTAATTTATTAATTCAAAATAATAACTATTATAATATTAAATTTAATAAGCTTTAAATAAGACTATAAAATTGGGAAATGTTATGTATAAGCAATACAAAAAATTTTAGTGTTAAAGAAAGGTATATATTTTTAAGAATTAAAATCTTTAAGATTAAGCTCAAATAAAATGGACTTTATTACAATTTATATTATAATGAAAGGATATAAAAGGGATTTTAAAATAAGAGGAAATGCAATTTCAACTAAGTTCCAATATTTTGTTTATTAAAATCTAGACTAACTTAATCACCATATACAAATGCGTATTCTTTTAATCTCTATTTCATTAAATATATGGATTTAATCCTGAATTTAATATAAAATTATAATCAAATAAGACATAGTTTCGCACAATCCATTTGGCTATAGAATTATTGAGACATAATAACAATATTTTAAGATACAAACGCTTTTCTACTTCTTTTTTGTAGTTATTATAAATTTATAATTTTAGATATGATTTGAATGATTATTTTTATAACTATTCTGTTTATATTTTAATATTAACTTCTTCTGAGAATTTATAAAACAAATTCTTTTAATTGAATTGCAACTAGAATAAAAGTATTTGAAATTCTGATATGTTTTAAAAATAATAATCTTATATTACAGTGAATAATATAATCAATATTTGTTATTAGAATAAATGATTAATATTGTTTATCTTTAAGAATTAGCTATTATTATTCATCGCTATGATCTTTTGAATTATATGATTATTATCTATAACTTGGTAGCTATTAAGAAAATCAAGAATTATCTATTATTTTTTAAATATAAAAAAAATTATTCAAACCAATCAAATAATAATTAATCATTCTTCAATTATTGATTACATTTTAGAAAAATATATAATTCATTTAATTTCATTTTTTATTTATCCTACTTATTGAAAAGAATTCATTTCTTTACATATAATAAAATTCTATATGGTCTAACATTTTCTGAGTTATTAATAACAAAATAATTAAACTTCTTCATTCTTTGGCTTTATCTAATCTTTTCTGTATTAAATCTTGACATAAAGATTCCACAATACTCAGTGTATGGAGCATAATATAGACAGATACTGCTCTTATCTGAGAAATTATCCTTTTCCTACCTTCACCTTATTTCCAAATTCATCTAAACAAACATCTTCAGTATGAACTTTACAACAACCAGCATTTAAATTGTTTTTCACAATTAAATTTATTGCATATTTGTTGGTACCATGATACATAATTCCCTTTCATTTGGATTACCATCCTTTTTAATCCAATCTTGATTTTTTCCATATCTTTTAACATATAACCCTAATCCATAACCATCTATTGGATAATAGTCATATTTATCATAATCAGGTCCTCTTTCTTCTTTTTCAGGATAAAAACTTTAATTATATGAAGGATTAAAATCATCTGAAGATAGGGTAATTCCTAATTTTGAATTTTTTTGATTATATGCATTAATTCTTGTTTAATCAAAATATTGTAATTATTCAATTCTTCTAGAGAATATTGGTGGCTAAATTCAAATTAGTTCTTATATTCTATATTATAAGGAAGGGTAAAAGGAAGGATAATAGAAAGATCTATCCATATAATTATTTAAGATTATGTTAGTCAAACACAAATTTTTATAGAAATTCAATAATTTTCATAAAAAACATAATGTAGTGCACTAATCATACTAATAATCCAATCGTTTCGATATGTGTTGCTCCAAAAAACCAATACTTAAGGAAACTTTGCGCTGTATGGCAATATGGACATGGAGTGGATATTAATTAGATCGTTCCAATCTAAATATTTTAATAAATGGTTCTTCAAAAAATTGCAAGATTCTAAGCTTGACTAGTCATATGAATTAACCAAACAGAAAATGCCTTTTAAAACTGTGTTATCAGGATGATGAAGAAAATTTGGTAAGATTTATCTGAATCAATCAAAAAATGTATGATTTAATTGAATTGGAAAACTAATTCTACACAAATCTTATCAGCGAAAATACCAATTTAGCAGAATCCTCTTATACTGATTTAGAAAAATTAGTCTCCATTGTAGAAGGGAAATCAATAAATGATTGGAATTGTTAGAAAATACCTATTTGAAGTTATTGAAAAGATAAAGAATGGGTGGGACAATGGAATATAGGCTTTTGT